GTCACGAGCGATGGCGAAAATGCTTTGAGTGCGCCAGCCACTTGACACCAGTTTACCATGGTACCCTAATGAATCTTAGAGTATCTTAGAGTATTCTTACTGCATGTGCATTTTTAGCTGGCCCGCTATGATACCATATTATTTCAGAAATTGTAGATGTAGTGAGGTGCTCAAGCTAGTGGAGAACTGGACTGAATGGCCGGAAACCAAGAGGGGCGACGGTACGTTGTGCTGAACGTTGGGCGAGGATATTGCCGCAGATCAGTTTCAAACAGCTGTAGTTACCACTAGCACAACGATTGAAAGCTCTGGTTTCCTGATTCGTTTTCACAGCGCTTCGATAATTTAAGAGTTGGCAGGGCACTGTTCCCGCCACGCTTCACGCCATTGGCTTAGAATGGGCAGCCGCGGCATGACTTGATCCTGTGTCCCAAGGCTAGCCCTAAGTAGCTGATCGATTGCTTAAACAAACGTGTTTCGGGATTTGTTTCGGAGGTTTGTAGAAGAGGAACATTTATATGTTTAAGATTATTTAAGATGTTGTGAAGAGCATGCACCTCTTTTCACAGTTTCTGGCAACTGGTTTGATGGCGACAACAAATGTGTTCGCAAAAGAGAATGCGGGCATTTAAAAAGCAAGATGCGTGCCGGTTTAACGAATAGGCTCAATGTTCTTCCTCATTTGTGGACGCCAGACTCTTTGGTTTGTAGCAGGCAGGAGCTTCCTGCAACCCACAGCGGTCCTCAATGCAAGTTTGGGAGGAAAGAGCTACAGTAGGTCATCAATGCGCCGCAGGAAGAACAGCATCGCCCCATCACCTTGTAATAGGCTCCAAGAATCATCAGAAAGACAATGAGATGGGGTTTTCCCAGGATGACATACCAAGTGTGTTATTTGTATCAGTGAATCTGGCCTCACACTTGTGATCACCCCGCACTAGATTATATTAAATTATGCAGCATGCATCTACATCATATAGAACAATATATATATATATACACATCCTGTATATATGTGTATATATCATGTCCGCTCAGCTTGGCTTTGCCAATGTTTGCTCAGCTCACCCTCGTGAAACCTACGCCGTAGCTAGCCTTCCTACCTAGCTGAAACGTATTGAAACGTAGTAATGTAGAATATGCTCAGCAAGGGAAGGGAACGAAGCAGGAAATGCCTACTGAAACAGCGATGGCCCCTTCAAGCTGAACGTGTACCTTTTCTTCTGATAACAGCCTGAAACGCGCAACAGTGCAGACAAGTAGTAACAAGCAGCTGTATGACAAAATGAGTTTGTGTTGGGATCGTTTGACTTTGAACTTGGACACCTCTCAGGAAGGGGCTCGAGGCGGGCCGTTGTGCTCCAAAGTCTCTTTTCTTTCCTGCAGTTTGCAGCTTGATGCTCCTGTTGCAATTGCTGTTGCTACTCTTTTTTTTGTCTTTTTCTGCATTGTACGAAATCATGCATCAAATCGATTCAAACCGAGTATATTTTTGCCAAGTATGTAGACCTGGTATAGCCACCTGTATAGTTAATTTCTGAGCAGGCAGTGATGTGCAGCAAATCGGAGAACACGGAGACAGCGTCCACTCTTGTGCAGCAAGCGCAGCAGCAGTGGCAGTCTACAACAGATGTGGCTACACTCGAGCTGCTTGTTTCAATCCTTTCAATCGCCAGCAGTATATATGTAGCAGATGTCAGCTTCGTCGGACATCGCGTATTTTCATGGTTGGTTGCAAAGTAAGTTGCTGTGTTTGAGGCGTGGTTGCCGGCAGCGTGGTCTTTCTGTCAAAGGCCAGGTATTTGCATTCTTCAAACATGCATCCTATCACGGCATCCCACAATTATCCAAACAGGTGGCCGCCAACAGTTGTTACATCGACTTTGCCTTTTCGAAGCCTACTGGCCCCCCCGACGATACCCTTCAGAGTCCTGAGCCGAAGATGGTGAAGGAGACACTCAATGATAGATTCTTTACCTGGCCTTGTGTTTTGGTTGGGTCAATGGTGTTGAGAGGCTCGCAGAGGCCCGCGGAGCATTGCAGAACCACGTATTACAGTAGGTCAGTAGGTTTAGCTGCGGCTGTCAAAGAGTTTATTGGGCACAAGCGACATTGGCATGTGCTTGCCAGCGGCAAGGCAGAGCATCCAAGGCATGAACTACAGTGACATAGATGCTAAGAGCACCCAAGACACCACAACAATGATGCCACTGAATGTTATGTTGAACGAGCAAGCTCAGACAGATTTGGGCAAGAAGAACCTCCTGTCCGGCCTTTTTGCGCCCTTTTGTGTAGCAACACTTTACTAGTAACTAGTAGTGATGCCCTTGCTAATTCGACTTAATCCCTTTCAGATCGCAGGACCTTGGGGTTGATGGCAAGGTTGAAGCAGGTCTGGATGGTGAGTTCTGCGACTGTGGAGTGGAAGAACCGAGGCGCAGTTGCTTCACTTGAAACGGCAGGTTGGTGCAGAGTCCGAATCAGAGTTTCAGGACAATCTTGCACAGGCCTCTAGGACTCCGTGTGGTGCTTCTACCAGAGTGGCAAAGTGGTTCAAGTTCGCAGGGATCTAAACTTTCAGCTTTGCCACCCCAGGCAACTTGCATCACATTCAGGTCAAAGGAACCGATCCACACACAACAAGCTCCTCAGCCAAAGAAAGCGAAGAAGGAGCCAAGGGAGCAAGCAAAAGAGGCTGGGTGCACGGGACACTGTCGGACACTGTGAGAACCTGCTTTGGGCACTCCTGCGAGGATGCGACAAAATCAATGGACAAGGCCGAGCTTTCACAAGTGACTTCATTGTGATTTAGTATGATTGAGTTCTCATCCAAGCTGTTTGAAATTGTTGTGCAATCTCATCTCTATTGATGTTTGCAACCTTCTTTGTGGGAGTCTTTCAGGCAAATGAAGAGTAGGAACAAGTTCGGTAGCAGATCCTACCAAACGTTGAACTTCACTAACAGCACAAGCAGCACCAAAACAGAATACAATAGGACGATGGACGATCTAGCAACTTCTTGTTGATCTTCCACACGTTTTTACTGTCAGCCTAACCTAATCGGAGACAGCAGCATGGTACGCTTTGTTTGCCATGAGTCTCATCACTAGACTCTAGACCATCTCATGTGTTTCTGGTATTTTCGGGGAATGCCATGCCATGGCTAATGTCAGCGAGCATGCCGCCAATGCTGCTCATGAGCTGGGGGCTTTTGTACAACAAGAGCTCGGTGCTCACATTGTTGCTGCAACAACCAGTTGTGTTTTCTGCAAGGTGCCCTTCAAGGATATGGTCCCCTTGGGCGGTACCAAGTGTGAAGTAAAGGTCTTGGACTGCTTGCATCTCGCATGTGGTCAGTGTTTAAGGGCAATCCTGCAGACGGAAGCAGGCAAAGATGAGAGGCCCTTGTGCCCACTATGTGACTCTCAGATAAGAGAAGGTAACTACAACAAGTTCTTGTGCCATTTTGCTGAAAACCAGAGCCTTGATTTTCGCGCTGTTGGGAGCGCAGCCAACATCAGCTGCGACGAGTGTGTGGAAGCTGGACCGGCTGTTTCTTATTGTGCTCACTGTGTGAAGAGACTTTGCTCCGAGTGTAGTGAGCACCACCAAAGATCCAAAGCAACAGCTTCGCATTCTTTGACAAAATTGAAAGAGCAGCAAGAGCATTCGCTTCATCGTGCGGCAATGTGTGCCATCCATCCATACCGTGAGCTGGAATTCTTCTGTGAGAGCTGCAGCTTCATGTGTTGCAGAGACTGCATTACAGCAGAGCACGAGACACATGTTTACAAAATTCCTAGCAAAGGCCTTGTTGAGAAGCAGCGGAAGGTACTCCAAGACCACATGGAGCAACTGCGAATCCTGGGGTCTTCCTTGCAAGAGCGTCATCAACTAGTAACGAACAGTATTAAGGACTTTGAAGACGAGCACTTGTCGGCAACCCAGAGCATTGGAAATCTGGAAGCACAAGTGAAAGAGGCCCTCCAGGAGCGGAACTGGCGGAACTCTGTGTTTTGATTCAAGAAGCTTTGGATGTTCAAGACTTCAGAATTGGCATCATTATGAAGAGTAGTTGTATAACCAAAAAGTGAGGGGGAGAGAGGAGCCTCAAAGGCAACTGAGCAAAAATCGAGCTACCCAGGGTAATGTCGCAATACTCTTGGAAAAGGATATGAATGTGAAAACACACTTAGTTGATCTTAGTTGTACAAGAGTTTGGAGTCTCATGTTTCAACTAGCGGCTTGCCACCTCCGAATCAACTTCCTGAAATGATATGGGATTTTGCTGTGTTTAAACTGCTTAGCTAGGTCTAGTTGGTGAAGACTGCTGGCAGGAGCGAAGGCGCCAGATGCTTGAGGAAGTCGAGTCATTCCGGGCACAGCAGCAGGAGTCATATGAAGGGCGCCGAGCATCATTGTCATCAACCATGCTCACCCGGTGGCGTGCCATTGACTTTTTAGAGAAAGTCTTAGCTCGGGGAACCAATTGCGAAGTTCTATTACTCACTGGCTACATCTCTGCCCAACAGGTGCTAGGTGAGGACGTGCTGGCATCCAAGGTGGCAGAGCTCGCATTGGCTGCTGCGATTCACCCGGAGCAAAAGCCACTTCATTGGTCCGGAGACGTTGCTGCAGCATCAAGCGCAATCTCGAAAATGACAGCAGCAGTCTCTTGGGTACAGAAGCCGGATGCAGACACGACTGATTCTGACCAAGGTGTCGCAAAAGAGATTCATCAGCTGAAAGATTGTGAGGAAGCAAATCCTCTTAACAATCCAAAGAATGAAGTGAAAGGCAAACCATCAGCGGATTCCAGCCTTCGAGACGGCCAACACATTCCTGATTTTGCCAGCTGCCACCAGCAGGTTCTTCCAAGCAAGAAGGATACAGTTCAAAAGATATCTTTGGCAGAGACGTTGAAGAGTAAGACGACCAGGGAACCGCCAGTACCACGGCCAATCTCCCTTTTTGATGCTTTGGCCCCCCCCCAAGACCACCAGCAAGCTGCAGATCAAAAGGCTTGGGGGCTCTCCAATACAAGCTTGCAGTGACAAAGAGATTAGAGAACAAGGCCTGGGTGAGCTTCGTGCAGTCCTTGGCCTGGAAGGTGATGAGCTGGGGTGCTTCAGGTCGCCATGTGGAATGGCAATTGATAATTCGCGGCTGTTTGTTGCGGACACTTTAAACTGTAGGATTCAGGTCTTCAGCAAGTACACTCTTGAGCCCCTGGGAGTGATAGGGCTACAGAATTGTGAGGTGACAAATCTGAGTGCCCCCAGTGGCTTGTGCTGTACAGAGACTGACGGGCAGACGACACTCATCGTGGTCGAGTACAACCTGGACCGGATTCTGAAGCTTCACCTCGGTCCGTCTTTGACAGCTGTGTCCGCACAAGAGCTTGCCCCCAATACCTTCTATGGTCCGTTTGGTGCTGGTTTCTCACTAGGGAGAGTAGTTGTTGCAGACTCATGCAACCATCGCTGCTTGGTTCTGACTCTTAACGGGCAGGTGCTGTTCGAATTCGGAAGTCGCGGCTTTGGCCCTGGCCAATTCGAATCTCCTGAATGTGTGGCGACGTTCCATGATGGCTGCATTGCGGTCAGCGACAAGGACAACCATAGAATTCAAGTCTTCGACGAGAATGGCAAATTTCATCATTTCATACCCAAAGATTGGAGAGCTTATTTTGACCCAGGGAGGCCTGGCTCTCTTTCAGGGCCTATGGGCATGTGTGTTGATCGGCATGACCGACTATTTGTTGCAGACTGTGGCAGTGACCGTGTGCAGATCTATAGTCGGGAGGGTGACTTCTTGTGGAGTTCGCCAAAGCCTGAATCTGCTTCTGGTGTTTTTTTCCAGTCTCCAACGGCCATGGCAGCAGATGATCAAGGACTTGTTTATGTTGCATCGGACCACTGTGTGCAGGTTTTCTGAGTGATGCAAATCTGTGTTGCAGCTTGATTCGCATTTTTTTTTCGGTGGTTGAATGTTAGACAGACACGTGTCACGTGACCTTCCTAAAAACCGGACAGAGCTGTGTCGAACCAGCGTCGCAAAAGAGATCACCTCAGGCTCTTAGCGTGACTTTGAGATAATTGATCGGACAGACTGAAGGGCAACTATTACTTGGGAGACTGGACAACTTGAGGGAAGCAGCAAATCAAGTCAAATGAATTTGTTTTCCGAGGTGCAGTCATCAGAAGTTACTCGCCGCGAGCGCTTGCGGCAAGTGGAGGCCTGAATTGCAGTGAAGGGCCACAGTGAAGGGGCGTTTAGGTGAACTCCTGGATCAGCGACAATGGCTTTCGCTCAAGCAAGAATTATGGCGAGTGTAGAGAAAGAGCAGCCGATTACTGTAAGGATCCAGTCTATTTCTCAACTTTCACTGACCCACACTGGAACGTTCACCGAATTGTTTGCACAGCATGAACTGTTCCGTTGTGACCAAAAGGCTTAAACGGTGACTGTGCGAATCTACACGGTTTGAAGCTAATTTATCATTTGGACATGATGCTCCTGGACATCGGAAGCAGCAGTAAATCATTCGCATAGCATGGCAATGGATGGCACATCCAAAGGCTGGCGGCAACTCTGGGCACCTTGAAATGCAAGCCTACCTCCGGTATTGCGCATGATGCAATTGATATTATGTCTCAACAACCACTGAGTCGACTATCTAGCCATTCTAAGGATTACAGAGATTCTGAACGTCGAAGATGTTGCAAGTTTGGTTGCCTACTTTGTGGGGCGCAGCTGCCTGGTACAATCTTAGCAACCCATAGCATCCCATAGCCATAGGCCGCATATATGGGCTGCATAGGCCTAGCCCGGGCCCTAGACATTTAATTTCTCGGTCCTACTGCACGAGGTTCCCTGAGGCGGTTTCGCGCAGCTTGGTTGGCAGGTGCTCGTTGGGCAGCTGAGGCGGGGAAGGCGGTGTTTCATTACCCTCATCACCTATACTACACGAACTGTTGGTAACCTATTTGAGTTGCTTCATGTTGCTTCATCATTGTCACCCTGTCAAGCAAGCCTGGCCTGGAGTGCTGCCTCACCGAAAGTGAGACCAGCGTGTGAAAGTGATCACAAAAGGGTGCCTCCAAAGCTCCACTTTGATAGAAGGCAATGATTCAGTTGAGTTGGAAGGAAAGGCTCCAAAGTCATTGTCATGCTGCTGCTCTGATGATGGTCAGGCATTGCCACTGCTGAGAACAAGATGCACTGGGTCAGTATACGTGACCCGATTCTCAAGTGTGCCATATTTGCCTGGCAATTGGGATTGGGCTGTTGTTTGGACTCGTTGTATTCCTCCCAGACCCATCAATCAACACATCTTTGGGCTGTGGATTGTTGCCGACCAAGGTATGTGGCGGCTACAGCGGCGCAGTCAAGCTTCGGTCCGCTGAGCGATTTAACCCTGTTGAAGGGTCTTGGGAGATGCTGCCGGCAATGCTTCAGGCGCTTTGTTAGCTAAGCACAGCTCAGCATTCAGCAATCGCCCACCACCAGAGATTCAGCAAGCCTCAATTTGGGGCGATCTGCGAGGTACGTTCTGGTCCAGCTGCAACCTCATTTGAAGGCTCGGTACTTTGGATGAAACGTGGCATGTCAGTCTGTTTGCAAATTCCCTGCAATTACATTCACATTGGAGCACATTGTAGCACTTGATTCTTGCAGGTGAATTGTACGTTTTTGGTACTAATTCTTCCACTGGATGTGCAACAGCTGAGCGCTTCGTGCTGCTTGGAGCAAAAGAGCCACATTGGGCCACTTGCTTTTCCTAGTGCCCAGAGTTGTCAAGGCCCGCGCTTGGGCGTTGGGAAGCGATGCCGTCAATGCTTCAAGGCCGGGAACGGCCTGCCTCCGCCGCTGTTGGAGGAAGCCTCTACGTTTGCGGAGGAGTGGAGAAGGCACGGCTACGGATCAAAAGGTGTTCATGCCGAAAAGGGGCGCATGGAAGCCCAATATATAATTACGAAAGCCAGCCGATAGGCGTGGCTGGAGGCTTTGTGAGCGAACGAAGTGAGTTAAGGGGGTGTGGGGGGGAGGGGGGGCCAAAACGTAAGAAACTGAGAGGGTGAACCTTGAGCCTGCTGGGGGAGAGCGCCCAAAAGTGAGGGTCAGTCAGAAAGCACTGAAAATGAGGTAAAAATGGTGGCATGGTGATGCAATTGACGCCGAGTGGTGCATCATTAGCATCATCAAGGGCTCCAGTTAGCACTTTTCTTGCCTCGGACGGGCTGCTGGGAACGGTGAGACACATCAGCGTGCACATGAGGCTATGGTTGGGTACGAACCTAAAGCATGCACACCAAAACCTTGGACATCCTGCACCCCATCGCTTGAGTCAAGCTTTCAAAAGCAAGGATATCGACATGTCCTGGCCAAGAAGTTGGACTTCAATCAAAGAAGCTATATAGATGTTATTGACTGGAGCAGCATAGCAGGTAAAACATACCCTAGTCTATAAAATAAATGGCTTTGACTGGACCAGAGCGGCTGTTGAGGAATGATGGTTGCTTCAAAATGGAACTGTGGTAGTTGGATGTAGTTGGTTGGCAGCGACAAGTCCCTATCAGAAAGGGGCCCGTGTAGATGGCAGCTTGGTGGGGTGAAGAGCCTGCTGTTCAAGGATGGGTTACTGTATAGTCACGGGTCTATGCAATATATGTGGATGACGGTTCGTGACACCAATGCTGAGGCATATAGTTCCTGCCATTCTGTCAGTCATCCTTTCAGAGAAGTCTGGTTGGATGTATTGGTGCTAGTTAGTATGGTAGGTTGTTGGCAGCGACAAAATTCTATCAGAAAAGGACCCCGTGTAGATAGCAACTTCTCTGTGTTTTATGTCTCTGTGTTTTCTGACTCTATGCCTCTATGTCTCTATGGTTCTGTGTCTCTATGTCCCTGGGAAGAGAGGTGTAGCCGCGACTTATGGTTATATGTTGGGCGGATCAGTGGCATAAGCGCAAGCAAAGTCCCGAGTCTCTTCGCTGTCCAAGCCCTCCTCTGGAGCCTTGTCTGCTTTGGAACCTGCTCCGGAACCTTCTCCAGAACTTCCTCGTGGACCTGCCCCGCAACCTTCTCCCGAACCTTCTCTGGAACCTGCCCCGGAATCTTCTCCGGAACCTGCTCCGGAACCGTTTGCCGCACCTCCTCGCAGAATCTCCCCCACCTCAGCCCTGCAGCCGCCATCGGAAACAGCTGGCTTTCGTCCTCCCCCCTTCTCAAGGTATATATATAAATATTAATATATATTACATATACAATATTATACAGTATACAGTATACATATTGTTTTGTGTGAATTTCCTCCCAGGAAACACATGAGTCATTTCTACATGATGTCAACCATGTGTGAAAAGGCTTGAGTGCCTTCCGGGCATCGATTGGACTTCGTGGGCCAGTCGTTCGAGGAGTTGTTGCACTCTTGTTTACATTGAGGTTTCAACATTGTGCATTGTTGGTTTGCTACCGCAACTCTTGTTGTTGGTAGCGGAGCCCTACGGGCCGGTCGCATAGCTTGTTAGTTGATAGACAGGCAGCAAACGGTCCAGGGACATCGACCGCATCAGCAGGTCCGCAACAAGTTCTTTCCGGAGTCAGCGCAGCCAAGTTGGACAATTGAATTTCAGTTTTCAGCAATCAGATGCAGGATTATCCAGAGTTTCGCAAACGTTGTGAAATTTACCGGAAGAAAATGCAGCTTGGCAATAGGTTGTTTGAAGTTGTGTACAACTTGGTCACATTGATGACCGGCAAGGCATGGGACTTGGTGGAGGATATGACGATGGAACAGATGCCGGGTGCATGAAGATGCTTACAATTTGCTGTTTGCACGCTTGGATCGTGGGTTCAAATACGATCCCATGACAGAGTTGCCGGATGATTTTGAGCAGTATTTTGTTCCATTGCAGCGCAAACCACAACAAGCATTACACTGCACAGGACTACATGAATGACTACACCAGGTGTGAACGCCGCTTGCAGGTGACACATTCTGTGGATCCTTCGTGCACGGTGGTTCCTTCGCAGATCAGGAATCACAAAGGAGCAAAGGCAATTGATATTGACGAACGCCGGAGCAACTGGGTTGTCGATCGAAGAAGTGATGAAATCCATGACTTTCATTTTGGGTCAGGACTCGACATTGCAGAGCTCCCCATCCACCAGATGGTGCTCCAGGAAAGCCATTCGATGGTTCCTACTACTGCGATCTCCAATATGAATGGGCAGCTGAACCGGATGACGTCTTGGATCCCTCCCCAACCAATTGTGGAGAAGATGCAGGGCAGGGCGACTGGTATGATCCCTCCGAAACAGCCGATGAGTTTTCATATGCTGGTGGTGAACAGTGCTATGATGTTGAAGAATATGATGAATTGTTCGCCAACTATCAAGACGCCAAGGCCAAGATGAATGCTCTTCAGAAGTCACGAGGATTGACGAGGATTTTACCCTGTCGTGGCTATGCCTCCATCGGCTCAGATGTCACCCTAAGTCTGCTGATGACCTAAATTTACTAAATTTGTAGATTTACAAAAACTGATGAAATTAGGTTGTTTTTACCTATTTTTTGTAAATGTACATTTTGAAGGAATCTATGCAGTTCATCAAAAGTTCTTCAAATGTTCTGCAAAAACTTCTCCCAAACTTAGTTGTGGATAAGTAATGCTTACTTGTGTCCAAGGTTCTCAGCTATGATTTTTTCTCAATATCAAGTCAACTTGTACTTGTGGATTGCTTGTGGCCCTGGTTCTCATGTATGACTTTTTGCTTGTGGATGACTTGTGTCCAAGGTTCTCAAGTAGGACTGTGGAGCATACTAGTACTTTGGCCAAGGTTCTCATGTATGACCTTTACTTGTAGAGCCAGAGACACCAGAGAAGGTGAGCGACCAGGAGGAGGAGAAGTCAGAACCAGAGAAGGATGCGGGAGAGCAGGGGGAGATGGAGAACCAGACAGAAGAGGAGGAGAAAGAAGAGCACAATGAGGAGGACCAGACAGAAGCAGAGAAGAGGGCAAAGAATGTGGAGGCAGAGCTTACAGAACCAGAGGAGGGCCAGGGAGATGAGGGCAAGGGGTCATCCAAAGATGTTAAGAAAGAAAAGAAAAGGCCGCGCAGGAGGACCCAACACCCCCCTCCTCAGAATCATCGATGTCGCCGCGTCGCCCAGGATGAAGAGGCAGGATGGGTCAACATTTGTACATTCATGATTCATTTGTGTCTTTCTA